CTATATTCAAGACCGAAATCCCCCCCCCCCCCTCCCCTAAAAAAAAATGGAGCAACTGTACCTTTAATTGTTACTAAGGACGGACTCGATGTTTGTTTTTCAATTTGAAAAGTACTACTTGAAACATCTCACTTCAAAAGACCAATAGTTATATTAATATTGTTAAAACTTATTTGATATGAATAATAATATTACTGTAATGTAAATATAATGATTATTGTGTGACGGATTGCTATGAATATCAATTTAAGTCTGATAATCATTATAAGTAAAGATTTAATCAATCTAACACTACCTAGAGAATACACAACTAACTTGGAATCGCCAGATGGAACATCATCATCATATTATTATATAGAACTAAAACCAGAAGGCAATCAGTCAATACACCACTGGTGAATTAGTCAGATTTAAAGCACGGCACCGGGGCCCAACAACTGGCATTTCTGTAATTAAATTTGATTGCTAATTTCGTCGGATAGAGACTTTTACTATCCCTGAGAGAATGTGTTCGGTGAGCTATGGTGGCATTGGATATTTAATTGTCCACGACTGCTAGCCTCGTGAAAGTTCACAGACAATTTTCACGCGAGCTCCATACGAGACATGAAAGCTATTAAGCAATTGATTGTATGACTTGGTAATGACGTTAGTGTCAGAGTCCTGACATTCGAGGTTAGACGTCTAAACCAGTGACGAAAAGCACATGATACACAATTTGAACACACAAATTGAATTTGATTGTCTCCGGAACATATACAGGGCATGAAATCATGATATAGTTCTCTTCACTTTGCTTAACATTTGATACCAGAAAAAAAACTATACTGAACAGATAAAGAAACGTCGCATTTTTTAGATTATTTGGACAAAATCGTGCACGACATAATATAATAAAAAAGAATGAAGTATATGATAAAGTACATTGTTACAATGTTGATGGGTACAGGGATTTACTGTCTGTTTGTGAGATAGCCGCACCTTAATCGACAGAGTAGGCTATGCCAGCGTGGGAGAGTCGAATCAGGGATAACGGGGCTTTCTCTATCTGGAAGGTTTTATCTGACGGGATCTAAATGGCACCTGATGAACGATCGGGCTAGATCTAGGCTACTTAATTCCGTTTGAATCTAGATGTATCCCATATATCAATGTGCTCTCGAACTACTAGGCCTACTACTTATGGTAGCTAAGATAAATAATTCCTAATAAGAGCATAGCATGAGAATATCACTCAGTTAAGGAAAAGCGTACTGAGCTGTTACGGCAACGGAAAATTAGATAAGCGTGAAGGCAGAGTCAGATACCGTACGGTTTGGCGCTGTTGAGATCGCCACGGAATCGAGAATGTCTTTAGACAAGCGTCGTTACATCTCCATAAACGCAATAAAAATGAGCCGGCGTAAGGGGGTTATTCTCCAGGCCTGTGCCCGAATGTGTCAATTAGTTCATCGCAGTGACCAGCAAATCTGCCGCTCACGTGTCATCATCAGCAGCCTCTCTAATCGGCCCTGCACCATGGAGAGTACATAAACCAAGTAGGCTACTAACAACCCAAACCCCAAAACGAAACCCAAAATTCAAACAGCATATTGGCGATGGCGAAACATTAAAATCAGCTATTGAACTTATCAAAGGAGAAAGTACATCAATCAGAAGAGAGGAAGCATTTCCCGATTAATAGTGGTATCAAGTGTTTAGAACAGTAAGCATTCCCTGTTTGATGCCTCATCTGTCAACACTACTCAGGAAGTATTCGCGATTTGACTCGTTTCCGGACAGAAAAGGGTGCGTTCAGCTCAATTCAATATCATTATTCGGACAAAAGACTTCCAGCATTTGCCATAGATGTTCTGTTGTTAAACATCAAATTCTGCAGATTTCTGAAAATTTTGACAATTAATATAGCCTTCACCTGCATGCATGAGAATATTAAAGTGACAAAAAATGACGACCTTCTAGAATACTGCTTCTTGTAACCTTCTAGAAAATGAATTTAAAATAAAAAAAAGTTTATAATGATATTCATTATGGCAATTAACACTCCTGGATATACTACGACAAAACAAAAGTATAACCTACAAATGTAGTTCCTATATACGTATATAGTTGAGTCACACAGACCGCCAATACAATTTTAAAGAATGAAAGTACGTTATCACAACTTATTTGAGTATGTTAATCTTTTGAAGAGAAATATGATTCAACGCTGTTTTTATAAAATATTGAATATCTAAAACCATAATTATAGAGGGGTGCTGTTGTGCCAATTGTTGACTTTAGCTGATAAGTGTTAAAAAGGGTTTTGGTGCCACCTTGAAGAATTGGGTGCCCCATGACCTTCCGTCGTTGGTGGGGCATCTAGGAAGGCATCTTTCCTTGCAGGTTACATTTGGGCCCACAAATGGGCTTGCACAATAGAATAAAATAGTCCCAGTGACTGGGGATGGAAGCTGATGAACAAAAGAAAATACTTACCTACATGTAGTTGCACTACGGTGACAAGCTCATGAAAAACTTAATTCATTGTCCTCTATCTTGGAAAATGACCGCCATATTGAAAATTTTAGGTGGCTAATGTGCTTTTTTGTCAGAGGAATGGTTGAGCATGGCTCATTCCAAATTGGGTTCTTGCATCATAAAGCGAAAGATTCTTGTGATATTTCCTGCTGGACTATATTTTCACAGCTTTCCCAAGTGTAAATGCAAATGAGTCGTGATATACAGATATGCTGTCAAGTTTCTTGTGAATTCTCAAGTAATTTTGCGATCAAGTTACCAAAATAGCTTTATGTAGGACAACACATTCAAGGTTACTCTCGCCTTGTAAAGGTTTTTTACGAGCATTTAAGTCTCAGATAACACTCTTGTCGCACTAAGCTTTTATTCAAGACGTCAACTCATTTGAAACTTAGATTTAACAGAGGAATTTTTGGTCAAAAAAACAAATCATCATTCTACATCATTATGACATGTATATGTATTTGAAAATTATATTTCGGTTATTTGTGAAATAAGAGAAAAAATCCAATATTAAGTACTCGTTGTATCGGAGAGTAGTCAGCTAGCAAGTAAAATTATAGGAATGAGATGTCCCCCACACCCACTTGTCATACATTTGTTAGAACAAAACAACAGCAATATTTGTTTATGGTCCCATTCAGAAAAGGGGAATTCATTCAGCCCATAAATGTAAACGGTTTTCCAATCGATGAGCAATAATTTAATTCTGTAAGTAAAGGGAGGCAACTACAATTAATGATATCAGACAACAGCTATTAAGGCCGATTATCGCGCTTATTGGCAAGCTACATCTTTTTCCAGATAAAAAAAAAGATTCTTTAGAGACTAACAGCCAAAGCCCTTGAGGCCAGAGGTCTCAGATGGCCTAAGATGAATTTTGAACATTTAGAAGGCTTAATTTTCACTTCAAAATGAGACCTATCAAAGGCCCAAGGGAGAGGCCGTGACACTTTAGGCCTATAGCAAATTTTTCAAGTATTGTCAGTTGCACAAATTGGCATTGCATTTATCAACCACTTATTGTCTGAAACGTGTCGTCATTCAATGCACAATTTTCTGGCCTATACAATTTTTCCAACAATGCTAAAAAGCCTTTCCACCTGTGCAGTGAAGGTGGGCATAATTATATATTTTGAAGCCATTGCTGCCAGACAGGAAAACTGACATTACACAAAGTTGTACATGGTGATGGTATGACTAAATTATTGGTGATCTCTTTTTGCCTGAATTTTCATTGACTCTAAGAGGATTCACGAGTTTACTTACTGACCACAGTTCACTATGATTAATGAACTAGTCAATAAAAGTAATCAAGGCAACACAGATTGTGTGGCTTTTGATTAAATGCACTGGAAGAGTGGAAGATGATAATTCGGACACGCCTAGCTGGTATTTCAGTGTTTGCTGATTATGTCACTGAGTTTTGGGTCGTGTGAGGGGATAGATTGATGTTGAACCATCTCCCCACCACTGACCAAAGAACAACCAAGGAAGGGTGGCATTCAAAACTATAATGTTGCTGGAAGATAGAATTGAAATTCAAAAACATAGACACGCGGGATTGTGATTTTGTGTATAAGTCATGTGTATTAATTATGATAAACTGTACTCTGTTTACCTTCAAATACAAAAACACATGTATTTACACGATAAACTGTGATAATTGTATTAATAAAGATAGTGGACGACAGCTATATACGCCCACAGCGGCATGCGGATGGTAAATATTCAAGATTTTGGGGCAAGGGCAATGACTCTGCTTCTAACGGTCGAAAATAGCTCAAATTCGAACTTGATCTTCGTTTTATGAATATGTCTACACATACCGAATTTCATTTGATTCCATTAAAAAATCTAGTTTTTAGAGCGTTTACAAGCAAATGTTGACCGACCGACCGACCGACCGACGAATGGACAGGGGTGCCGGCAATAGACGTCCACATAGAGAGATGTGGGCGTATAAAAACAAAATTGTGTAACTTTTGAGTATTTTCCCCCTTTTTGGGGAAGGTATTTTGCCTTCATATACAAAAATACTTTCAAGATACAGACTATAGTCATAATCCCCATGTTCTAGGGATTTACAGGTCCGATTTTAATCTCGAAACAATAGGTGCCGAAAAAAAAGAAAACACCCGATCTAAGAGTCAGTTTGTTAGTAAAATAAAAATATGGCTAAGTTTTCATCACAATTTGGTAGATTAATTATAAAAAAAACAAATTTAAAAATCAAATTCGACATTATCCAAATGAGTTATATTTGATTATATTTTTAATGCTTTTAAAAAAATAGTTAATGAATAACATTCTGAACATAGGGCTTCAAAATATACACATACTAGGTTTTTGTTTAGGCTTGTATCTCATATTTCATTAAATGATTTTATACCTAAAACTAAGAAGATTTAACATGGCTCATTGTTCAGACTTACCCAGGCCTGCTGATATTAAACATTGGCTAATGAAAAGAACAGTCACTAATTCTTATATAAGTTTATTATGAGCAATATACCATCCAACAGACATTATTATAACATAATATATAACATAGAGGTGGTTACATTAATAACATAAGATGATTCTATAACATAAATCCATACAAATCAACATAAAGCACCTTTCCTGCTAACTTTCATAAATAATTGATGATATACCTTGATATAAAAGATTGGAGTAACAATTTCACAGCCTTTCACATTACACAAAGAAAAACAGAAACATTTTATTGAAATTTTAATTGTGACATTTCATTGTATTTCAAACATTGTTATGTCAGAATATCTCAATTTAATAAAAGTTTCAATGCTTAATTTAGGTGAGAAGATATCTATACAAGTTTGATCTATATTAAATCAATATATTAGATATTGGTATATAAAGATATAAGTTTTGGGACTAGAATTGGCTATAAAATGCTTAAACCCTGTGGTAACCTACAGCTAAATATTTTCTCCAAACATTCACAGGCTGTGTTTCAGGATATCAAAAACCCACTATTCTATATTTGTAATTTCACACTGGAATGGTTATACATTATTTTGATCTAAAGAATAATACAGATTATAGTTTCAGATTTTCATGAAGTTCTGGTTTTATTTCATAAACCACATTCAATAAACTGGTTAAAGCTACTTCTTTATTTCTCTTCACACTTTCTCCAATTTCATGTATTTTTTGTTTGGTATTAGTTTCTATTCTTTGTTCCATATCACCTCTTGACCCTAATACCTATGAAAAAAAAACAAATATTCATAATAGTAACACACAAGTTGACATACATTTCAAATTTGAAGTAATATCACCAGTACCTAATGGTGACACAAATGCCAAAATATATTATTTCTAGTTTGCTCCAGGTACTGATGGATAGAATGATATTTTTTGGTCAAAATATGAAGTTTATAACTTTATATAAGATTAAACCCACTTCCCGCCAAGCTTTGAGTAAGATGAAAGGGATAAAGATCCAATTAAACCAACCTTGGCTTCATATTCTTTGTATTGTCTTTCTCGTTCAGTTTTATAAGCTATTATCTCTACCTCAGCCTCTTTCTTAGCTTGTTTAAGTCTGTTGGCTTTACCTGAAAGAACATGTTAACATATATGTATTTATCATTGAAAACTCAAGGTACAAAGACAGTAGACACATTCAGTTCATATTGTATTGACATAGCCACACACATCCATTACTATTTATTATCAAGATTTTGGAATTCTAAAAAGGGATCAGATAATACATTTTAAACACTATTAGTAAAGCTATTGACAAGAACAGAGATAGTTTGTTCTTTCACTCATGATTATTTCAATGTCATAAAGGACAAGTAAAACAATGAGACAGTCACATGCCTGTGTTGTCACGATTGTAGATGAAAAAATGGCAATTTGTAGAAACTTTGACAATAAAATTGATTTTTTTACAACGATGTTCGCGCTCTTTTTTTTTAATATACTATGGTCTGGGAGCATAAACACATTTTTAACATGATAGTAAAAGTACTTACGCTTTCTGGCGTCTGAAACCTTTTCTGCAGCCTTTTTTTCAGCGGCTAATAGCTGTTGGATACCTTGAGTCTGACTCGCCATTTTGCAAATTTCCTAGTCATGTGACTTTTATGTCAATTATACAGAGTCATCACATTTAGTTTCGATAAAGAAATTTCATTCGTATATCTTAAAGAATAACTGAAGTTTTATTTTCTAAACGTCTATTACTTTATCAAATCGAATAATGCAATATTATATGTTATTCAATTTTACTCGATTCAGGCAACATCATTAATACGAAAATCATGATTACTTTCTACACAAAATGTTATGACGTAGCTCACAGCAGCAGGTTGAGAAATTCCTGAAATTCTCCGAATTTTTACAATTCTCTTTGATTTACATGTAATTACCAGCGTCTTTCGGCACCCCAATCACTTCAAAGTCCATAAGGAATCTTCCAGGCATAATAATTGCATTTGTTAAGTGTTGCCTGTGAAAAATAATCAAATTTATTTGTAAAGAAGCAAAACAAGGACTCCAAATAAACTGATGTTAAAAATATAAACAGTAGAAAACAGCCTTGGCTCCATGAACAAGTTGCAGACGGCTATACCAGATTATGATAATTTACTAATTTTTCGCAAATGAAAACAGCTTTAACCTGTTTGAATAATATTTATTTTTGAAAAACATTTAAAGATTGTTTGAATATTGATTCGATAAAAATGCCGATTGCTGTAACTGATTTAGACAGGCTGAGAAGATTTTTGTCCCACGGATCTGACACAGGTGTTCTGATAATTGGAAATGCAAAACCAACCAAAGAAGATTTATCATCAATTGATCGGCTGATTTCAGAGGGCAAAGGAGAAGAAATTGTCCGAGAAGTAGTTAGATATGCCCTTGAATGCAGATTTGTTTTGAAGACCAATATATTGTTTGCTTTAGCCTATTGTTATAAAGCAAAAGACAACAGTACAAAGACTGCAGCAAGTAAAGCTTTTCCAAACATCTGTAAGCATCCTATAGATTTGTTCTATTTTTTGGAATATGCCAAAAAGATGTCAGATCAACATAAAGGATGGGGTAGATCATTGAGAAATCTAGTCAGTAGCTGGTATAATGGTATTGAACCTAAAGAATTAGTTGAATTTGTCACAAGATATAAGTCATGTTGTAGATGGTCCCATGTTGATGTTATTAGACTAGGTCATGTTCATCCTTTAAAAGATGGTAAGTGAATATATCAGTAAATTTATTTAGCCCTCTTTTAATGATAAAAACCTGAGATTGGTAAGCAATAAGCATCTTATTATTTTGGAAGAAAAACTTGCCATTATAACAATTTCTTTACAACATTTCTTACAGTTTGTAATAATTTTATTTCAGAAACAGCAATTATCATACGTTATGTTATGAAAGGTTTAACTGAAGCAACACAATTGGCTGAAGGCAAAGATTCCAAGCAGATAAAAGAAATATTGAAATATTTGAAGGGTGTTGATCAAGTTAAACAATCTATCAATGAACATGAGATAGGTGTTCAAATTCGTCAACTCAATTTAAAACAGGAACATATACCAACAAAATTACAGAAATCAGTTGAGGTAGGTTACAATAAATTGAAACTCACAGACTTGGCTTGGATATATAGAGTCAAAGGTATTCTTTTGAATATTACATTAAGATGTGAGTTATGATGTTCTCTATGATTTAAAAAATATTGTCCAGTGAATATGACTTGGCAATAGTAAGTGTAAAAAATGTTATTATAGATGCCCATGTAATGGTGCATTAGAATTTAAAGTAGCAATATCCAGTTGAAATGTTTTGCCAATATAAAGTAAAGTAATTTTGCTGGAGAACATTTCAGTATAAAAAAAGGATTACCGGTACTCCATAAAATTCCACAAAAAGGTGCCTGGAAAAGAATTTTTCGAATTTATTCCAGGTGTGGCAAGCCTTGATACCAAACCTAACAATAAAAGAAATACTCAGTAACATAGTTAAACTAGCAAGTCTTGGTATTTTAAAATCTGATAATTATATTTTACCTGATATACTTGATAGACTAACTAATGAACAGGTTATTAAAGATTCAGGGTAGATATCACTTTGTTTTATGTCAGTTTTTTATGTAGAAGAATATAAAATCATACAGCTATTGAGCTGAAAGCATGTATATAAATATAGATTAAATAACAACTTGTTCTAAAGTGTTTCATTTTCATTATATATATATAAGAAACCAGGGTTGTCTTCAATTTTTGGTAAAATGAAACAATTTTGATCCATTCTTGAGAGAACAAGTTGTTATTTAATGCATATTTATTTGGAAAACTATTCAAAAATAGAAATATAAAATCAATATAAGGAGCCAAAGGTTTTCTTTATTAGAGTCTTTTATCATTACCCATGTAAATGTAAATGTTAAATCCTAATCAGACACACTTTAAGCTATATCAAGCAAAAACTGGATGATGTACATTTATTGATGCCTAACTGGAATATTAAGTATTGAATACATTGCTGTTAAGGAATTTGGAGCTCCTAATGAATGGCATGTTTTAAACTTTCTAACAATAGATTTATCAAAATATCATCACTTTCATGAGATCTGTATGATTTTAAATTGTATTATTTTAATCAATTGTGTTTTATTTAGAGTATCACCTATGAAGGTTCTGATAGCATTACGAAATTATGAACAAGGTAAAGGAAAGATTAAATGGCAGAGGAATGAATCTGTGGCTAATGCATTGAATTTAACTTTTTCACATGCTATAAAGGTATTCTTATTTATTTCAAACTAGTCCTGTTTTGTCATTCATGGGCTTCTTCACTCAATTTCGGATCTGAAGACATGCCTATGATGGTATGTTTGGAAAGACAACCAATCAAATGCCTAAGAGGAAATCAATTCTGAGATGTTCATTTAATTGAACAAAGAATTACATGGAAAGATTCTAAAGAGTTTTAATGAAGTGTTTGTCCAAAACTTGCAATGACCTGTTTATCATTGTATATTTTTTGTATAATCTATTTTATCTGTTACATACCTTGTCATGATTTCCAATATTATTAATTTAATATTCATAAAAAAATCACATTTTTAGAACAATATCAGTGTCACCAATAAAAGACTACTTATAGCAGTTAAAATTGGTCATGGTTTACCCCAGCATTCAGTGTATGGTACCCCTGCATTATCTTCAATGATAGCTGCAGCAGGACTAGCTACTATTTATATACAGTCAGAGGATAGTTGTTCTCTAGTTTTTTTCTCTACAACTGTCATACCAGTAGCCATTAAAAGTCAGATGAAAGTAGAAAATATCTGTGAAGGATTAGCTAAAGCAGCTCTTCCAGTAAGTAGAGTTGTGTCTGTTAGTTGTAGATTGTTTAACCTAGGCAATCAATGGTAGGAAATTCAATCTTTTGCTTTTTTATGAAAGGGATATAAGCTTAGTTGTGTGATGCTTTGCAGATAGCACTCAATTGGAAGTGAATACAGGTCCGTTCACAATCCCTGATGAGGAATGCTGTTAGAATGGAAAAACCTCAATATATATGCATTTGCATATGCATATATGCATCTCAATTTCTTTTGTTACTTTCAGGAAATTCCCGTAATGGCTTGTGACGTATCAGCACCTATAAGATGGGCTACAGATAACAAGAAATCTTATGATGCTATTATAATACTTACTGATAGTAAAGATTCCACTGGTACAGTCACACCTCATAGTGCTTTACTACAATATAGAAAAGATCTGAATTTACCTAATACAAAGTAAGTAGAATATAGAAAAGATCTAAATTTACAAAATTCCAAATAATTTCAATACAGCAAGATCTGAATTTACCAAATACAAAGTAAGTAGAATATAGAAAAGATCTAAATTTACCAAATACAAAGTAAGTTCAATACAGCAAGATCTGAATTTACCAAATACAAAATAAGTAGAATATACAAAAGATCTGAATTTACCAAATACAAAGTAAGTAGAATATAGAAAAGATCTAAATTTACCAAATTCAAAGTAAGTTCAATACAGCAAGATCTGAATTTACCAAATACAAAGTAAGTAGAATATACAAAAGATCTGAATTTACCAAATACAAAGTAAGTTCAATACAGCAAGATCTGAATTTACCATTTATACAAAGTAAGTAGAATATACAAACGATCTGAATTTACCAAATACAAAGTAAGTTCAATACAACAAGATCTGAATTTACCAAATACAAAGTAAGTTCAATACAGCAAGATCTGAATTTACCAAATACAAAGTAAGTTCAATACAGCAAGATCTGAATTTACCAAATACAAAGTAAGTTCAATACCGCAAGATCTGAATTTACCATTTATACAAAGTAAGTAGAATATACAAAAGATCTGAATTTACCAAATACAAAGTAAGTTCAATACAGCAAGATCTGAATTTACCAAATACAAAGTAAGTTCAATACAGCAAGATCTGAATTTACCAAATACAAAGTAAGTTCAATACAGCAAGATCTGAATTTACGTAAAAAGCAGCATTTAACATAGATAATTCACATATAATTGATATATTTTTCAGGTTGATAATTTGTGGTATGACATCAAGAAAAATGGAGTATGCTGATTCCAATGATTTGGGAATGTTAGATATTGCTGGGTTTGATTCCACAGTTCCTGATATTATCTCTAACTTTGTACTTGATGTGTAGGCATAGCTATCAGTGTATATGTTAATTGAATAAGGAAAGCTAATCAGATAGGCAAGTCAGTGTCCAGTTAAAAAGCACTTTGATGACAATGATGATGGAGAAAAGGACACAGAGAAAGTTACATTTGCACTGGTCAAAGCTTAAATATAGCTTGTGTTGCATCACCTTTCAATTAACAAGTTTTTGTTTCTATTGTTTTCCAAATCTCCTTCTTTCATCTTCAAATCCCGCGTACTTGCTAATTTATTCAGTCATATACATGTATGGTTAGATTCTCTTTTATGGAGTATAACTTCAAGAAATCCTATCCTACAAGATAAGAACAGAAAAGACAACAATAACACACATTTCCATGTTTTAGCTTTTAATATTTGTTGGTTTATTAGTGAATTTTTTGTTGTTATGGATATATTTTAATCCCAATAATGTTTTAGTCAAACTAAATGCTCATTAATTTGTTGTGTGTTTGCTTTTTAGCTTACAGATTTACATGTGTTTTAATAGGTTTTGTTTTAATGTGATGCTTTTGGGAAACCTAACAGGTTAAAAACGATTAATAAGATATACAATACACTTTACAAATACGAGGAAAGGGTCAACTGATTAATTGAAAATTAATAATAATATAATGACATATTTACTAGCTATATTTTGAATGATATTATGTAATAGGTGATATATATTTTTATATGATTATTATAAAATTCTGATTCTATATGTTCGCCATAGTTCAGATTGGTCAGTCAAATTTTGAATTTTCCATCATATAAGAATTAAATAATGAACCCGTATGAATATTATCTAAGTAAATTGATGAGACTCCCTCTTTATATTTCAACCAATCGAAAGATTTACCGTAAAATTGTGATATCTTTTCATCTTTTTGTATACCTGTTTAATTTATTTTGCAATAAAACACCTTTTATCAGCTACATCTAATGTTTGACTCGTCTTTGATTTATTGAAGTATCCACGCGACACATACTTTTGATATTGATTAAAAAAGCCATGGGAGTGTTTTGTGTTTGTGAAATGGTTAAAATCTGAAAACTAAAAAGGGACCACGGGAAGGTGCAAATTGCTTGAAGCCGATTCTATGCTCTTGATACTTGCTCTGCAGATTGCTGTTCAAATTTTCATATTGGAGTTTTGAGGTATTAAGGCTTTCGCCCCATACGAAACTACGTATGGTACTTACATGGAAATAACACACACGAACGTTGTTCACAACCATTTTGAAACTCTTCCTCGACATAATAAGCCGAATTTTGATGAAGGTTGTTATATTTCAACTCAGCCTTCACATCACAAATAATGGTTGAGAAATGGCTTTAAATGTGATTTGATGAAATATTGGGTCTTTTTTAAAAATTCAATTTATTTAGTCGAGAAAGAGAGATTCAAAAACTTCGTTCGTGTATGTTATTTCCATTTAAGAACCATACGTATAGTTTCGTGTTGCTATCGCCCCTGACCTACTTATACATAGTTTACCCCCCATTTCCCTCCAAGTGACACAGTCGTCTTGTTTTTTTTTAAAGATATTTATGGAACCCAATTTCAGCCATCCATACCATTTTCTTCACTTTAAATTCCTACGCCCAGTTCTATTACATTTCAACATATATTAAGTGCGAAGAAAAGTAAATAAAAGCTATATTCCAAGGTAATTCTAATTGTTGCGAACCCGACACATAAACGCATATTCTATCAGCTTTTCGATATTACTATATTACTGTTTACCCCAATAGCAATATTTATTTTATAACATACATACGTAATATAATATGATATAAAAAAATAAGCAAGAATTCGGTAATTACCGCATTTGAGGAAAACATATGCCCATAAATGAATTACAATAAATATATTTTGGTTTCAAGAACCGAACTTTAAACTCGTACTCAGCGACGTTCCCTTTGGGTCCTGTTGTACAACAACGTATCAGTCTAGGAATATCATAACTTGAGTACGACAATGTTTTTGAGATAAATTCATATCTTATCAACTAATGAAGATCAAACTATATATTGATAATTTGACATTATAATATCACATACTGGTACATTTATCTATCATTTCACATTCTTGTTATTGGAATATTTCACTAAAACTCAATTTCACTGTGTATTTGTCTCATTTATCACCAAGTGTATACCACCATCAAAGACGTTTCAGACCAGCATTATTTCTGTTTGGATTAAACACTGTAATGCCTTTGATCTTAAATTCTATGTGAAATTTATGCACCGTTATGCAAACGATATCCGAAATAAGAATGATATTACTTCATTTAGTATTTATTCTTATTTTACTGTCACCAGGTAAGTTTGGTATAATAGTATAATATAGATATAGTGACCATATATTTACCGTTTTCCCTTGTGCTTTTTATCATTTTTTAATCTCGATTGTACCCTATTGTAGAACACCAGTTTGATTGCAAAATAAGATTTGAAATAAGAAGAATTAAATCGATTAAACCATAATTTTTGTACATGTATTTCTGTAGATTTATGAAATTCGTTACATCCAAAATGACCATACCCGAAAATGACGATTACGAAGATTGTCATTACTCCTATAAAACAATTTTAAGGATTGGGTTGATAATTGCAATACACTTTAATTCACCCAACGCAAGTCTATGTGTGTTAATACATCCATCTGATGAATTTAATTTTGATAAATCTGTGAAACAGGGCATATTTTATCTTTTGATATCTCATAAAAGACTAAGAAGTGTAGATACAAATATATTTTTTATCTTTTTAATTAAATCACCGATCCCGTAGATCTACTTGTCTTTGTGATCATAAACTATCTAAAAGTATGCACTATAATTTCACTTTTTATTTTTCGACCAAAAAACCACAAATTGTACAATCAACACAGATATCTGATACAAAACCTTTAAGAGGTACCCGTCGTAGTTTGTTTGTTCGTTGTCAGGAAGCTGGCAGATTTTGTTGAACTGATACAAACTCATGGATAACGTGTGGTGAATTTAATTTCAGCATATTGTCAACAGAATAATCAACTACGATTATCAGATGGTGATCGAGACAGCCAAGGAAGAGTAGAGATCTATCATAATAATACATGGGGTACTATCTGTGATGATGGTTTTAATCAAAATGTTGCTACTGTGATCTGTCGAAAGCTAGGTTATACTGGGTAAGTGTTGCTGGCCGTTGATTGTCAATTGATATAGCATTTTTGGTCCACGGTCTAAACAGTAAAAATACAAACCATACAATTTGTCCAGGAACATACCCACATTGAGCAGACATAAACATTAAAATTTGTCCAAGAGCCATCAATAATCAATCACTGGAGCAGACATAAACGTTATTTGTCCAGGATCAGAGAGTAATTAAATTTGTACTCGATGAGACTATAATCAAATACATCCTGGATCAGACAATAATCAAATTCATCCTGGGTCAGATAATAATCAAATTTGTCCTGGATCAGACAATAATCAATTTTGTCCTGGATCAGACAATAATCAAATACATCCTGGATCAGACAATAATCAAATTTGGACTGGATAAGATAATAATCAAATTTGTCCTGGATCAGACAATAATCAATTTTGTCCTGGATCAGACAATAATCAAATTCATCCTGGATCAGACAATAATCAAATTTGGACTGGATAAGATAATAATCAAATTTGTCCTGGATCAGACAATAATCAATTTTTCCTGGATCAGATAATAATCAAATTCATCCTGGATCAGACAATAATCAAATTCATCCTGGATCAGACAATAATCAAATTCATCCTGGATCAGGCAATAATCAAATTTGGACTGGATAAGATAATAACCAAATTTGTCCTGGATCAGACAATAATCAAATTTGTCCGGGATCAGACAATAATCACATTTGTCCTGGATCAGATAATAATCACATTTGTCCTGGATCAGATAATAATCACATTTGTCCTGGATCAGATAATAATCACATTTGTCATGGATCAGATAATAATCACATTTGTCACGGATCAGATAATAATCACATTTGTCCTGGATCAGGTACCCAAAGAGTAGACAAATTTGTCTGTCAATAACGACCACTGAAGCAAACACAAACAATCCAATTTGTCCAAGATCAGGCAATAATTCAATTTGTCCTGGATCAGATAATAATCAAATTTGTCACGGATCAGACAATAATAAAATTTGTCACGGATCAGACAATAATAAAATTTGTACTCGATGAGACTATAATCAAATTTGTCCTGGATTAGACAATAATCAAATTCATCCTGGATCAGACAATAATCAAATTCATCCTGGATTAGACAATAATCAAATTCATCCTGGATCAGACAATAATCAAATTCATCCTGGATCAGACAATAATCAAATTTGGACTGGATAAGATAATAATCAAATTTGTCCTGGATCAGACAATAATCAAATTTGTCCGGGATAAGACAATAATCAAATTCATCCTGGATCAGACAATAATCAAATTCATCCTGGATCAGATAATAATCAAATTCATCCTGGATCAGACAATAATCAAATTCATCCTGGATCAGACAATAATCAAATTCATCCTGGATCAGACAATAATCAAATTCATCCTGGATCAGACAATAATCAAATTCATCCTGGATCAGACAATAATCAAATTCATCCTGGATCAGACAATAATCAAATTTGGACTGGATAAGATAATAATCAAATTTGTCCTGGATCAGACAATAATCAAATTTGTCCGGGATAAGACAATAATCAAATTCATCCTGGATCAGACAATAATCAAATTCATCCTGGATCAGACAATAATCAAATTTATCCTGGATCAGACAATAATCAAATTTGTCCGGGATAAGACAATAATCAAATTTATCCTGGATCAGACAATAATCAAATTTGTCCGGGATAAGATGATAATCAAATTTATCCTGGATCAGAAAATAAACACATTGGATCAGACAATAATCAAATTTGTCTTGGATCAGACAATAATCAAATTTTTCTTGGATCAGACAATAATCACATTTGTTTTGGGGCGGCATTATGAACAACTGTTTCTTTAGCGGTACATTTGTAGGATAGTAGACAATAGGATTTGTTCTGGAGTAGGCATAAGTCATAAGTTTGCCTTCAAGTTGGTCTCAGGTTATGATTAATAAACATAAAATTGTAGATACAATAGATACTTGCAAAAGTATTCCTGTCATTTTATCCCGTCATTTTCAGAAGTAATTTCCGAACTTATGCAGAAGCCTATTTTGGAATTGGAAGTGGTCCTATATGGTTAGATGATGTAGATTGTAATGGTAATGAACAGAATCTAATTAACTGTAGATTGAAACCATGGGGTAGAACTAATTGTCGACATGGGGAAGATGCTGGGCTTGATTGTGCACCAGGTAAAACTCGTTTCTATGACAGTTCACTGCATCACAATGAGGATACAAAACATTTACCTCAATACTCATGAATATCGCGATTTTTGTCTCAAATGTCTGGAAAGGTCAATGAACGTCAATAAAAATGTGTCAATATGTGATATGATGATATGTTTAAAAAATCTACCGTTTCAACTAATTCCCCATCATATATTCTTATAAAAATATTCAGATGAAGATGCAAATATACCAGTAAGATTAGCTGGTGGTGCTGATGGTTCACAAGGAAGAGTTGAGATACAACATGCTGGAGAATGGGGTACCGTCTGTGATGATGGCTTTGATGACAATGCAGCTAAAGTTGTTTGTAGACAATTGAATTTTAAAAAGTAAGACTAATAACTCACTTTTTGACCTTTGTATCATCATTTAACTATTTTTAAACGATCTTGTGGTTTTACCTTGACTTCTTCCTAAAGTTGTAATCTGAAATGCCCCAACAGTTCTACCATAGAAATTTCTACAATTCTACCAGAAATTTGTTTCTTGCAGTTCTGCACTAAAATCTTCCTATCGTGCTTATGATCTGTTTGTATTTTCCTCCAACTAGTGTGATAGCAGTACCATTGACAAGTGCTTACTTTACTAATGGTACTGGGGACCCCAGTAAAAAGATTTTATTGGACGATGTTAAATGTACTGGTAATGAAACTGGTCTGGGAGTATGTTTACATAAAGGATGGGGTACCACCAACTGTCAACATTCTGAAGACGCTGGTGTTATGTGTATACCTAAAGCCAGTAAGTTAGATATTATCCTGTTTTACCTCTGATAGACAATGATTTTCTGTATTTAAAAGGGGTGTTATCTTCTGAAAGATACATTCTTGCTGCGATACTACGAAAGAGCATGTCCTAAAATCGTCACCATCGTATTTTAGCACTTATTATGCCAAAGTCAAAATCTTGTTTTATACTTATCTCATCAAGAAGAGGTCTGATCAAGTAAAAAATCACTTAAAGTTGAATTTTTCAGATGCTTTACTGCATCATTATTAACGCACGACTACGACTGAAGAATGGCGTTATGACATATAGTATTATAGTTCGTATGAACAATACCTATGTGTACTGCTATCGAACTTCTAAATTGTATGTTCTGATTCTGATTCGTGTGTTTTAGTTTTAATCCTTTGATTTATTAGGTGTTTCAAATCAAGTAAAAGTACGTCTAACTGGTGGTTTAAGCAGAAATCAAGGTCGTGTAGAACTCAATGTTTATGGTATATGGGGTACAGTTTGTGATGATTCGTTCTCCTCAAGAGATGCTGGAGTCATATGTAAAATGTTGAATTACACAAGGTTTGTACTTACATTTTAATATAATACGTGTTTTTCTCTCGGTTTCTTCACTCGTCATCCAAAACCAGATTAACCAGCTTGATTAAAACAAAACATTTGATTGGTAATCTAGTTCAATGATTGTTTAACAATGAGATCATGGATAAAAAGTGTGAGAAAACACACAATCGACACTCGCATCTACGTTAGTCAATTATCATAAAACACATTTAGAATGTGTTCATACTGCAAATTTATATGACTTCTTCGCCAGGTACAACGAGGGTTGACATGATGCCACTCTGTGCTCGAGATTGCCAAAAGATTGCATAATGTTTTCTCGTGTGCTTATATACCTATACTACACTATTTATTTAGAGGTGGGAAGAAATTAAGGAAAGGAACATACAGTGGTGGTCTAGGTCCTATATGGGTAGATGATTTAGGTTGTCAAGGACCAGAATCTAATATCACACAATGTAGTAAGAAACCTTGGGGAGTTAATAATTGTGATCATGATGAAGATGTAGCCATTTTGTGCACGAAGGGTAAGCCTAATTTGATTGACAATTATTTGACTGAACCATTCTATACAACAAGATGTACCAAGAGTTAAAACTGACTGAGAATACACTCATGGTATTGGACATGGTGTCTATGTCTATTTTCCTGGTCAGTCAGTCAGTATGGCAAAGTTGAATTTCCAATGTGCACTCACGTAGATGATGAGTTTTAAGATCAACCTCTCAAACTCACAGACTTTCTGTCGAGGACTCTGATTGGCTGCGTTCACGAGCGTACAATCTAATTAAATCACTGTATTTACAAACTTCCGTGGTACAAGAAAGGTGGCTATTGTAGTTAAGGACTTTGGTCGGTTATGTTTCATCTCATGAAAAACAGGCGTCATAATTTTAACCCCTGATGCGTGTTCTATTGCAGACCCCGCACCGAATACACCAGTACGTCTAGCAGGTGGTACTACTCCTGGTGAAGGTCGTGTAGAGATATATTATGAAAACCAATGGGGTACTATCTGCGATAATAACTGGTCAGATGCTGATGCTCAGGTTATTT